TCTCACACATACACACTTACACAGAAATATTCTCTCACACACACACATTCCCACATGTGTGCGCACACACACATTTACACACAAACACATTCTCTCACACACACACATTTACACACACACAAAAACATTCACACACACACACTCACACACACACACAGACACACATTCTCACACACACTTACACACAAATATTTTCACACACACACACACACACATTCTCACACACGCACCCATGCACGCACATGCATCCCCTGCACCCATATCAACCCAACAAAGTAGACAACAGCCATCTCAAGTTCATTTCTCAGGTTAATGTCATGACCAACCAGAGTTAAGATGCCTGGTTTAAATTTAAACAAAGCTTGTTCATTTATTAAGTAACTGGTGCAGTCACCATGGAAACAATCAGAGACCACTTGCCAACCTATTAGCACTATCTTCTCAGACAGTACACAATAATCACCCAAAATGTTGGTATTCTTGTGAATTGTCCCTAATGAATGCAAGACAGAAATATTTCAACTAAACTTGTCAATCTTTTAGCAATCATCAACGTAGGCATTTAATTACCGGCAGAAAACTGATTACATTAACAGTTTTTAAAATTCATTCACGGGATGAGGGTGTTGCTGGCCAGGCAGCATTTATTGCCCATCCCTAATTGCCCAGAGGGCAGTTAAGAGTTGCCCACATATTAATGGGGTTCAGCTGCTAAAACATTTCTAAACATGAGAGTCCCTTCCTCACCAAGTCTAGTCGCACCTTCTGTCAAAATGAGGTGAAAAAAACCAAAGCATCTTTGACTCACCTATCGGCTGTTCTTCAATCCACACGTGGAAGTAAATGATTAGTAACAGCCCAGCCACTCCAAATGACAAAATGGACAAAAAGAGACGTCTCAGGTTCATGTCTTTAGCTGAGCCTTTATAGCAGCATCTTCCTCGTGGCATACTCTTCACACATTGTGACATTTCATCTTCACACGTTCATATTTCCTCCTTGGACAGCCTGAGGGAATAGATACATCAGTGGTTATTAAAACCTGTCCACCCATCTCCAAGGCACAAGTCAGGAGTGTGATGGAATACTCCCCACTTGCCTGGATGGGTGCAGCCCCAACAACACTCAAGAAGCTTGACACCATCCAGGACAAAGCAGCCGCTTGATTGGTATCACATCCACAAGCATCCACTCCCTCCACCACCGACGCTCAGTAACAGCAGTGTATACTATCTACAAGATGCACTGCAGAAATTCACCAAAGATCCTCAGACAGCACCTTCCAAACCCACAACCACTTCCATCTAGATACAGATACATGGGAACGCCACCCCCTGCAAGTTCCCCTCCACTCACCACCCTGACTTGGAAATATATCGCCGTTCCTTCACTGTCACTGGGTCAAAATCCTGGAATTCCCTCCCTAAGGGCATTGTGGGTCAACCCACAGCACATGGACTGCAGTGGTTCAAGAAGGCAGCTCACCACCACCTTCTCAAGGGGCAATTAGGGACGGGGCAATAAATGCTGGGCCCAGGCAGCGACACCTACGTTCCATGAGTAAATTTTTTTTTAAAATGCCATGTATTTGCGTAAGGAGCGTTTATCTAGGCCACATACTCTAAACAGTCCTACTGTTCTCAGCGTGGAGTTCTTGCTGTTGAAGGTAGACAGAAATGAGGCGGTCAGTCTCAGGATGTCCAGGGAGAGGAATTCTCCCTTGGATGCCAGCCAAAGCCAAGAGAAAAACTCTTTCTATCCTTTCACACACGAAGAATCTCATTTTTCTCATCATCAAAAACATGGTGGCACAGTGGTTAGCACTGCTGCCTCACAGCACCAGGGACCCAGGTTCGATTCTAGCCTCGGGTGTCTGTCTGTGTGGAGTTTGCACATTCTCCCTGTGTCTGCGTGGGTTTCCTCCGGGTGCTCCGGTTTCCTCCCACAGTCCAAAGATGTGTAGGTTAGGTGGATTGGCCGTGCTAAATTGCCCATAGTGTTCAGGGATGTGTAGCTTAGGTGGGTTATGGGGGATGGGTCTGGGTGGGATGCACTGAGGTTTGGTGTGGACTTGTTGGGCCGAAGGGCCTGTTTCCACACTGTAGGGATTCTAAATATTGCCTTCAAGAGGAACAGCAATTAAACCATGCCTCTTGCTCCATTTCACTCCCGTTTCGTTGCAAAAATCAGATTACTGCAATCACAATGCTGTGTTCTATTCCTGCTACTGATTAATTATTTCAAAGCACTCTGACAATATTATGTTACCAGTCATTTCACGTGATAAAGGCTGCCCTTGTAATTTATTTTCCATTACCATCATTAGAGAATAGCTTCTGTTTCACTTAAAAGGGCACAGTGCTCCATATCAACTATCGCTGTTTGTAATGCCGTATTTAGCTGGAGTACTGCACTGAGCCTCACTAACCAGTATCACACACCTCCCCCTCTCTTCTCAAACACATGCACACACACCACATTCACTTACCTGAGCTGTTCCGACCGCTCATCCAGCTCTCACAGCTAACTGCTGTTACATTAGTTCAGGATTTATCCACCTTCACCCTGAGCCCCCACCTGGTGAGATCTGAAACTCAGTTATTAATTTCAAAAAACAGACCCGAACCAAACTGAGTGATGTTCCAGGCATGTGGATCAGGAGGATGGGTAGGCCATTCCGCCTGTCGAGCCTGCTCCCATCTTCCAGGAGATCATGGTTGCTCCAACATTAACCTCGGCCACACATTCTCATCTACTCCCGAAAGCCTTTCACCCCTTGCTGAATCAGAATTTATCCTCCTCCAGGGCCCCAAAGTTTCCCTGGCATTTCGGGAAATACAATTGTTTACAGACACCAGCTGCCTGCCTTTTTGATTGTGGTTATATACAGGTTATTTTACATATATATTTTTGGTTATATATTATTGGGTAAAAACCTCAGCCCCATGCTCCTGATCTTAGTCCTCCCTGAATGGGCTGACACTAGGTGTGTCTACTCCTGAACCTGGTCAGGGTGACCACTAACAACTTCAGGAAGCAAACGTGCCTTGAATGAATATCCTTTCAGATGCTACAGCCGTTCCTACGGAACGTGCAGATTCCACGGACATAACACTGCGTTGTTATCCTGCATGGGTTGTACCTGCCATGGGATCTCCAAGTAGTGGGTGTCTGTACTACACTCTTGAGGCTGTTCTATCCAGCTAGACTGCTCCTTCTCTCGGTCTGCTTCATCTGTGTCGAAATGTGTCTCAGAGGAACTCTCCCTCACTCTCGGTAACTAGTGTGAGCTCTCTGTTCACATTCAGAAATCCTGATTACAGATCTGTCCTCCTCCTCGTTGACTCCTGACAGCATGTGATTGTTTGTGACAGAGGTGCATCATCTTCACCATTAACATGTTGATTTCCCTTCATGCTACAAGGAGGTAGTTGAGTGTAGTTACCTGCCTTTTTCTGTCATTTTTGTGTTTGTGACTGGGTGGCCCTGCAGAGTGTATCGCTTCACATTCAGCCACATTGTACTGCATCTGCTGTGTCTTTGCCCACTCACTCAACTTGTCTCAATTGCCTTGAAGCCTCCTTGCATCCTCCACAAAACTCTTAATCCCACCCAATTTTGTGCCATCAGCCAACTTGGGAATGTTGTATTTGGTTCCTTCATCCAGGTGGTTGTTATAGATTGGGAATAGTTGGGGTCAAAGCATTGATCCTTGAGGTACCCCACCAGCCACTGCAAGTAATTTGGAAAAAGATCCATTTAGTTCCATTCTCTGCTTCCTGTCTGTTGACTAATTCTCAATCCATACTAATGTATTATCCCCAATCCCACATGCTTTAATTTTGCTCAGTGGCCTCTTATGAGGGACCTTATCAAAAGCCTTCTCAGATACACCACATCCATTGGTTCTCCCTCATCTATTCAACTTGGTACATCCTCAAAAAAGTCCACATGATACTTGATAAGCAGAATTTGCCTTTCATAAGCCTATGCTGGCTCTGTCTAATCCCATTAATGCTTTCCAAACGTTCAGTTATCACATCTTTTATAAAAGTATATTCCCCACCACTGATGTTAGGGTAACTGGTTTTGAAACTCTCTCCGGCCTTTATTAAATAATGGGGTTACATTTGCCATCCTCCAATCTATAGGAGCTGCTCCAGAGTCTACAGAACTCTCAGAGATGGCGATTTCCAGGGACACTTCCTTGAATACTTTGGGATGTAAGGTGGGATGCTGAATATAGCATGGTGGCCTGGTCAAAAAGGAGGATGCTTAAAGACGGATATTCAAATCTATGAAATCAGGTAGCTAAATCTATCATGCAGCAACTTAAGTGTAAATGATGAAGCAATGATAAGAACAGAACAGTAGGACTGAGTTAACCACAATGTTCATTAGACCTAAACTATCCATTTCTGGAATCCATATGAGCAGGATGAGGGAATTAGTGGCAATATCACTGGACTTGCATCCAGATGCTTTGAGGACAATGGTTCTAATCCCACCTCAGGAGCGGCATGGTGGCTCAGTGGTTAGTCCTGCTGCCTCACAGTGCCATGGAGCTGGCTTCAATTTGAGCCTTGAATGTCTGTGTGGGGTTTGCACATTCTCCCTGTGTCTGCATGGGTTTCCTGCGGGTTCTCCGGTTTCCTCCCACAGTCCAAAGATCTGTAGGTTAGGTGGATTGGCCAGGGAAAATTGCCCGTAGTGTCCAGGGATGTGAAGGCTGGGTGGATTAACCATTGGCCATGCAGGGATAGGGTGTGGGGGTGGGGGTGGTGTTGGAAATGTGTCTGGGTGGGATATTCTTTGGAGGGGCAGTGTGGACTCAATGGGCCGAATAGCCTGCTTCCACATTGTAGGGGTCTATGATTCTAGGTAAATTCAACTAATTAATAAAAGGAATTGAAAGCTCACCTCAGGAATGAAACTACCATCAATTATCATAAAAACCCCTCTGGTTCTCTTTAGAGAATGAAGTCAGCCATCGTTGACTTGATAGAGGTGTACAAAATGATCAGAGGTATAGATAAAGTAGACAGCCAGAGACCTTTTCCTAGGGTGGAGGTAGCTATTACGAGGGGGCATAGTTTTAAAGTGAGTGGAGGTAGATATTGGGGAGACGTCAGAGGTAGGTTCTTTACTCAGAGAGTGGAAGGGGCATGGAATGCATTGCCAGAGAGGGTAGTGGAGTTGGCCTCATTAGGGGCATTTAAGCGGCTATTAGATAGACGTATGGATGATAGTATAATGTAGGGGTGGAGGTTAGATAGACCTTAGGTTTAGGGTAAAAGTTCGGCACAACATCATGGGCCGAAGGGCCTGTACTGTGCTGTACTGCTCTATGTTCTATGTTCTTACCTGGTCTAGCCTACATGTAACTCCAGGCCCACAGCAATGTGTCTGACTTTTAACTGGCCTCTCTAAACGTCTAAGTGAGACACTCAGTTACGCTGAACTGTTCTGCAAACAGCCTGCAGTTATTAGCCCCCATGCAGCAAATATTGATTGGTCTTGCCAACAATTCATAACAGAAGAACTGAAAAAGTCAAATTAATTACTTGAAAAGCAAGATCCTGTGCCAGCAGTGAAATGGAAAATGCTGGAAATAGTTGAGGAGAGAGAAACAGAGTTAACATTTCAGGTCGGGTATTTTTAGCATTTTCTGTTTTCATTCCAATCTATTATCTCTGTTCTATTTTATCAGCTGGGGAGGTTTTGATCTATGGAGACCCCTTATAATGGTTTAAAAGTCTCCTGGGCAGAATGAGTGGGACAATGCTGTTTATAGCTTATTATCACAGCAATTTTGGCTTTAATTTTGGCCGATGATAAATTTCTCAGTTAAATATCCATCAACATTCAAAGAACACATGCAGCTCTGCTAAAACTGCAAATTAAGCACTCTATTTACTCAACACACATCTTTACCAGTCTAGACGATGAGAAAGGAATCAAGACCAATTCACTGAACCAATTTACTTTGTTTGGAATCGGATTTAATTTCAAGGCAAAACAAAAGGTTGGCGGGAGCCTGAATATCAGCATTGCCCTGAGAATCCAGCTGGAGCTCTTGTGACAGCAAACCATCAGCAGACATACTGAACCTGTGACAGGAACATGTGCACAGAGACTTTGATTGTGAGCAGCCTGCTACATTGCATTGGGTGACAAGAAGGCACTCACTTACTTCCCAGGGACCACAGGCATTTTAGAAGCATTTGCAGGCAGATAATCAACCTGCCTGACTACATTATAAACACATCTTGTGTGACTGTCAAGTTCTGGAGTAGGACTTGAACCATACAATGATCAGGCTCAGAGGTAGGTAGTTGTCCATTTTACCACAGCTAAAAGTAGATAAAAACAGAAGAATACAAGAAATAGGATTTACGGTTTTTAACCATCATCTTACATTTGCTTCACAAGCTTGCTGTGCTCAGATTAGGAATGAAATTGCCCACACCACAACAGTGATTGCAGTTCTATGTGCTACACTGGCTGGAAAATGCTTTGGATATGCCTGGGGAGATGATGACTTAATGGTATTACTGCTAGCCTACTGATTCAGAGACCCACGTAATGTTCCAAATTGCACCATAGCAGATGGTAGAGTTTGAAATCAGTAAAACTCTGGAATTAAGAACCTAATGATTACTGTGATACCATGGTCAGTTGACAGAGAGAAACCTCATCTGGTTCACTAATGCTCTTTAAGGAAGGAAACTGCCATCCTTACTTGGTCTGGCCTCCATGTGACTCCAGACCCACAGCAAGGGCGTAGCATGGTGGCTCAGTGGTTAGCACTGCTGCCTCACAGCGCCAGGGACCCGGGCTCGATTCTTACCCTCGGGCGACTGTCTGTGTGGAGTTTGCACATTCTCCCTGTATCTGCGTGGGTTTCCTCCGGGTGCTCCGGTTTCCTCCCACAGTCTAAAGACGCGCAGGTTAGGGAGGATTGGCCATGCTAAATGCCCATAGGGTCCAGGGATGTGTAGGTTAAGTGGTTTAGCCATGGGAAATGCAAGGTTACAGGGATGCAGGCTTGGTCTGGGTAGAATGCCCTTTAGAGGGTTAGTGTGGGCTTGATGAGCCGAATAGCCACACTGTTGGGATTCTATGAAAGTGGCCATGAATGAAACTCTGTTTAAAGGAAATTAGGGATCGACAAGCAATGCTGATGCCCACATCTCATGTTAGAATAAAGGGAAAATATATTGAACGCCATTCAAAAGTGCTTCATTACCTGTAAAACAGTTTGGAAAATTCTGAGGTAGTGAGAGATGTCAAAGAAATGCAGATCTTCTTTTGACAATGTACATTGGCTCAATTCTGGGAGCCTGGTCATAAGGCAGTACCACCTCAAGTTGTGTATGTGACCCCTGCACATAGACATTGGTGCCTTTGTCATAGAACCTTCTGGAGTTTGTATAACTTCGATCACAGAATTAATGAGATAAGAGATCTCAGAGGATAAGGGGGCACTGGAGGAGCTTACAGAGATAAGGACGTGGGTAAAGCCTTGGAGGGTTTTAAAAGCAAGAGTGTGAATTTTTAAAACTGAGACTTTGCCAGGCGATGAAAAGATTTGTTACAGGCTTATTGCTTAAAGTGACATCATTTTCATGAGAAATTAATGGCCAAATCACTTTTGGAAAAACAAAAAGGACACAACATTGTAATTAATATTGAAACACATTAGTTGCACAGGATCATCTCATGGTGAAAATATGCAAGACAATTTTGTTTTTCCACTCATCAACCAAAACTGAAAAGTTACAAATTTATTTTCACAAAGTCTTTTTTCTATTTTCTCAATTCCTTGCAATGCGCACCTGTGGGTTTACAATCTGGATAGACCCTATTTCAGTGGCCGATTAATGAACACAGGAACATAGGAGCAGGACTAGGCCAGTAAACCCCTCAACTCTGCTTGGCCAATCTAGATCATGGCTGATCATCTATCTCAATGCCATATTTCCAAGCTATGCCACGCACCTTGGTGTCATTAGCAACCACATCTCTACCATTCTCATCTTGAATGACTGAGCTCCCACAGTACCAAAGATTGACCACCTTCTCAGCGAAGAGGTTATGTCATTTTTATTTATTCGTTTATGGGATGTGGACGTTGCTGTCTGGGCCAGCGCTTATTGCCTGTCCCTAGTTGCCCCTTGAGAAGAAAGTGGTGAACTGCCTTCTTGAAGGAATCACGATATTTTTCCAAAGTCAGGATGATGAGTGGCTTGGAGAGCAACTTGCAGGTTCACTCCCTCATGATGATGCTCAGTAGCAGCAGTGTGTATCATCTACAAGATGCTCTGCAGAAATTCACTTAAACAGTACCTTCCAAACCCATGACCACTTCCACTTAGAATGACAAGGGCAGCAGATACATGGGAACGCCACCCCCTGCAAGTTCCACTCCAAGCCACTCACCATCCTGAGTTGGAAAGATATCGCCGTTCCTTCACTGCTGCTGGGTCACAATCCTGGAATTCCCTCCCTAAGGGCATTATGGGTCTACCTACAGAACATGGACTGTAGCGGTTCAAGAAGGCAGCTCACCATCACCTTCTCAAAGGGCAAATAGGGATGGGTAATAAATGCTGGCCCAGGCAGTGATGTCTTTGTCCCATGAGTGAATAAAAAAATCAGCTTCTTCTCCCATCATTAGTTCCCCGTTGTCACCTCAAGAAAATGTTGGCCCCATATTTTTAGTTATTGTGTTTTCCAGCATTCTCATTTCATGTTCACATTTTATGGAGTCAGTATCATCACATTTACACCAGCAAACCCACAGCTCCCTGCCCCACCAATACCCACTATGGAGACATGCCCTAAATTTAATCAACATAGAGAGAAAAAGGAGATAGAAATAAAGACACATACACACACTCACTCTCTCACATACAGACACACACACACACTCACACACACAAATAAACGCACACACTCAGACACACACACATACACAGATTCACAAACACACAGACACACACACATACACAGATACACAAACATACTCAGACACACAGATACACACACATAAACAGAGACACAAACACACACTCAGACACACAGATACACACACATAAACAGATACACAGACACACACACAGGTACACAGATACACACACATACACAGATACACCCACACAGATATACACACTCACATTAGCACATGCACACACACACATACACCACACATGCGCTCACACACAGATATACACACAAGCACAGACACACACACATGCACACACACACAAACACATACATACACAGATACACACACAGATACGTACACAGATACCTACATACATAGATACACACACATACACAGATGCACAAACACACACACACATAGTTACACACACGGATATACACACACACATGCATACATGTGCACACACACATATATACACGCACAGATAAACAAGCACAGATACACACAGACACACACAGATACACATATATTCAGATACATGCACACATACACGGATACACACACACACACAGATACAAACACACACATGCACACACAGACACACAGAAGAGAACAGTTAAAATACTTTATCACCACACCACAAAGTATCAGGCAGAAAGGTGGGTGCCCTAAGGCAGGCTGCCACTTCCAGGTAGGATTGTAAGCCCTTGCAGATTCCAACTTTCAGAGCAACCTTTTGCAAACAGTGAACCATTATGTAAAATATAAAACACACAGTGCCTACGCAGTTGCTGAAACTCTCCAGAGCTCCTACACTCAACAGGCTCTTTGTAAATTCCCAGGTTCTGCAGGATCTTTAAAAGCAAGATAAGCTGACATTTTCTTTTTGAGAAAAAAAAACTCACCTACTCACAGAGAACGATTCTCGCTCTCTTTCTGCAGCGAGTGGAGCTTTGCAGATGATGCACGAGTGAACACATTCCTTTCCCTGAGAAGTAATAGCCTGAAATCTTTTCCCATGTTACTGTTTTCCCTCTCTGTCTGCCTCAGCCTTGGCACCTCTCTGGAATTGGGAGAATACTGGAGCACTCTCCTTCCGCTCCAAACACACAGAGGATCATCTCTGGTGTGTGTGCGCGCGTCTGCATGTGAAAAGAGAGAGAGAGAGAGATTAAAACAGCTTGTTCCAATGCCCTGCCCCAAATTTAGCATCTGGTGTAAAACAGTCAGCGCGATCAGTCACTCCCACGTTGTGTGTTCAGTGACAACAGTAACCCACTTTGATAAATCCATCCAACCCGGTAAACGGCAGAGAACTTTGCTAAATTGCAGCAGAAGTTAGCTCTCCACCCACCACCGCCCCTTGCATTAGATTTGACAGGCATTTCTTTGCTGAGAAGGAAGTTCTATACGAGAGTGAAATACGTCCATAGGAAGAGATGAAGAGATTACATCTAAAACTGTTTCATCCCTAGTGCAAATCAACTGCTCTCAAAGGCTGGAATTACAAACTCCAACAATAAATGGGTCAACTCAGTCTCATCTTTTTGAGTTTGAGTTAACCAAACAGTTTTTATTAACAGCAAATCGCTAATTTTGATACAAGGCTGCAATGAAATGAGCGATTTGATGTTCTCATCAAAAGTTTCCATTGGGGCATTTCAGATCTGGATTTGAATAGTTTTATTCACACTACCCTTCACTGACCATCAGTTTGATGTAAATGCAATATTTATACTGAAGATATAGTCAAGCAATTAGTCAGGCAAAAAAACATTTTATTGCAATCTGGTTGAGGTATAAGAGTAACAAAGTCTTGCTTCAGTTATATCTGTCACACTCACACAGACACACACGCTCACACTCTCTCCCCCATGCTCACACACGCACACACACGTGCATAGACACACACTCTCTCTTACACACACACACTCACAAAGATACACACACAAACACACGCATATAAATGCACATACACACCCCTTTCTCTCTCTCACACACACACACACACACACACGGAAGGTGCTGCCTGAGAGGGTACTAGGGGCAGGTACTCTCACAACATTTAGGAAGCATCTGGATGAGCACTTAAAATGCTGGGGCACAGTAGGCTGTGAACTAGCTATTAATATTTGACTAAAACACTAGTCAGATTATGTTCCACCAAAAATATATTATGAACACTCAAAGCAGCCCCAATTGACCCGAACGATCACTTAAAAAAATCCTCTTGCCTAATCACACTTCATCTACCACTCTCACATCCACTCCCTCCATCCCTGACACTCAGTAGTAGCAGGGTGTACTTTCTACAAGATGCACTGCAGAAATTCACCAAAGATCCTTAGACACCACCTTCCAAATCCATGACCACTTCCATCTAGAAAGATAAGGTTTGTTGCTTTTAACAAGTCCTCATGAGGCAAACTGCTTAAGAAGCTAAAAGCCCATGGGATCCAGGGGTATTGGGCAAATTAGATCCAAAATTGTTTCAGTGGCAGGATGCAGAGGATGATGGACAAAGGGTGGGGATTTGTGATTGGAAATGTGCTCAGCGGCATACCATAGTGCTAGGTCGCTTGTTGTTTAATGTGTACAGTAATGATCTAGACATGAATGTAAAGATATGTGATTAGTGAGTTCAGAGATGACATGAACATTGGTGATATGGTATATAGTGAGGAGGAAAGCATTAGGATTCAGGATGATGTAGACTAGCTGGTCAGATATTCTGAACAATGGCAAATTGAATTTAACCCCGAAAGGTTCGAGTTGATGCATTTTGGGTAAACTAACAAGGAAAGAAATTCTACTGTGAATGGTAGGAAGTGACGAGGATCATAGGGACCTGAGTGTGTATAGATCCTTGAAGGCAACAGGACAGATAGATGGGAATACTGCCATTTACAAACTCCCCTCCAAGCTACTCACCATCCTGACTTGGAAATATATCGCTGTTCCTTCACTGTCGCTGGGTCAAAATCCTGGAATTCCCTCCCTAAGGGCATTGTGGGTCAACCTACAGCACATGGACTGCAGCGGTTCAAGAAGGCAGCTCACCCCCACCTTCTCAAGGGGCAACTAGGAACGGGCAATAAATGGTGGGCCCAGCCAGCGACACCCAAATCTATAAATGAACAAAAAGCCCATTTTGTGCCTTGCTGCTCCAAATGGATTTTATAATTTAAGTTGGCCATTGATTTATCTTCCTGAATGTCACATGACTGAGTGATGTCGCTAGTACCTAGATTGTAATGGTCTGTATGCCCATCACTGAGCCCACCTCATTATTCTGGGCTGGCTTAGTATCTGAGCTCAGAAACACCAAGTGGGCTCTGTCGAACGCATTGCTCTCATCTACGCACCTGGTTACCGCTTCAAAAAAAAATTCATACAATTTGGTCAGACGTGATGTCTCTTTAACAAAACCATGCTGACAGCTCTTGTTTAATTTCTACCTCTCCAAGCACATTCTATTTCTCAGAATTGCTCCCAGTCGTTTCCCCACCGCTGAGGTTAGCCCGGCCAGCCTGTAGATTCCTGACTATTCTTGCTCTCTTTGGTTCATTTATTTTGTAGGATGTTGGCATCATTGATAAGACCAGTACTTGCTGCTCCTTCCTAATTGCTATTTGGATTAGTCAGCTCATTCAGGCTGTTTAGGAGGGTAAAGAGTATGGCATCACACGAGAGACAAACTGGATAAGGATGGCAGAATGCCTTCCCTAAAGACATTAGAATCATAGAGTCATACAGCATAGAACTGGCCCTTCAGCCCACCATGTCTATGCTGACCACAAGCTACAGTGAGTTGCCCGGTGGTTAACACTGCTGCCTCAAAGCACCTGGGTTCGATTCCACCCTCGGGTGACTGTCTGTGTAGAGTTTGCACATTCTCCCTGAGTCTGCATGGGTTTCCTCTGAACGCTCTGGTTTCCTCCCACAGTCCAAACACGTGCAGGTTAGGGTGGATTGGCCGTGGGAAATTACCCACAGTGTCCGGGGATGTGCAGGCTGGGGGGGTTAGCCATGGGAAATGCAGAGTTACAGGGATGGGATGGGTTTGGGTGGGATGCTCTTCAGAGGGTCAGTGCACACTCAACAGGCCAAATGGCCTACTTCCACACTATTGGGATCCTATGATCACTAATCCCATTTACCTGCACTAGGTCTGTAGCCTACTATGCCCCTGCATTTTAAGTGCTTATTAAATGTTGTGAGAGTACCTGCCCCCACCGCCCTCTCAGGCAGCAGTTTCATATTCCTACCACCCTCTGGGGGAAAATATTCTTTCTCAGATCTCTTCTAAACCACTTACCCCTCACCATAAACTTAGGTCCTCTGCCATTGGGAAAAGATTCTCATGATCTACTCTGCCTCTCATCATTTTGAACACCTCAATCAGATTCCCCCTTCAGCCTCCTCTGCTCCAAGGAGAACAATCCCAGCCTATCCAGCCTCTCCTCATAACTGAGACTTTCCATCCCATGGAACATCCTGGTGAATCTCCTCTGCTCCCTCTCCCAGTGCAATCATGTCCATCTGATGGTGTGATGACCAGAACTGCCCACAGTATTCCATCTGTGACCTAACTAACGTTTTACAAAGTTGTAACAAGACTTCCTCGCTCCTACATTCTATGCCCCAGCTAATGAAGGCAAGTGTCCCATATGCCTTCCTCACCGCCCTGCCTCCTGTGCTGACACCTTCAGGGATCTATGGACTCATACACCAAGGTCCCTTTGTTCCTCAGTGCTCCCTAGGGATCCTACCATTTGTTGTGTATATCCTTCCTTCCTAAGACCTCCCGAAATGCATCACCTTGCACTTATTAGGAATAAATTCCATCTACCTTTGCTTTGCCCCATTTACCATTACACTACCAATTATCCTGTCATCTGTAAACTTACTAATTAAAACTTCTACATTCATATCCAAGTTGTTAAGGTAGGCAACAAACTGCAAGGGTCCGAGCACCAATCCCTGTGGTACACATCGGTCATAGGCTTCCAGTTACAAAAACAACCCTCCACCATCACTCTTTGCCTCCTATTTGAAAGGTAATTTTGGATTCACTTTGCCAACTTGCCTTGGATGCCATGGGCCTTTGGACGAGCCTACCATGTGGGACCTTGTCAAAGGCCTTATTGAAGTCCACGTAAACAACACCAACTGCACTGCCCTCATCGTTATACTTAGTCAACCTCTTCAAAAAAGCTCAACTAGCCAGACAGGATCACCCTCCAACAAATCCATGCTGACTATTCCTGCCTTTCCAAGTGTTGATTAATCCTGTTCCTAAGAATATATTGGTAAACCACTGCTGCCTCACAGCGCCAGGGACCCGGATGTGATTCCACCCTCGGCCGACTGTCTGTGTGGAGTTTGCACATTCTCCCCGTGTCTGCGTGTGTTTCCTCCGGGTGCTCCGGTTTCCTCCCGCAGTCCAAAGATGTGCAGGGTAGGTGGATTGGCCTTGGGAAATTGCCCCATGGTGTTCAGGGATGTGTAGATTAGGTGGGTAATGAGGGATGGGTCTGGGCGGTATGCTCTGAGGGGTGGTGTGGACTTGTTGGGCCGATGGGCCTGTTTCCACACTGTAAGGGTTCTATGAAACCCAGATGAGCTTCCCGAAAACCAATGATTGTTTCATAATCACCATTACTAGGACTTGCTTCCAACTCCAGCTTTTATGAATTGAATTAAAATTCCACCAGTTGCCAGGGTGGGAATTGAACCGCTGCCACTGGAGAGTCAGACTGGGCCTCTCGATGATTAAACCAGCGATGTTATTACTGCACCAATGTCTCCTGGGTGGCCCTGGTAGTGCTGAGCTGGATATAGATATAGAACATAAACCATTTCCAACTAAGTACAAAGGTTTCCTATTTAAGGGATAGTGTGGGTAAAGTGTGGAGAGACTAGTAGTCGGGGACAGGATTTTTGTTAAAAGTTAAGCTTGGTACTCTAAAGATAACTTGTTCACCTTTAGATTAGAAAGGCTTAAGATAAGTTTCAATAAAGATTTTTAAAATCAGGAAGGATTCTGGATTGAGGAAATAAGGAGATACTGATTTTTGGCAGTAACTTAGCTTTAAGGTAACTGGCAAAAGATCATAGAATCCCTACAGTGTGGAAGCAGGCCATTTGGCCCATCAAGTCCACATCAACCACCCAGACCCACCCTATCCCTAGGACCCTGCATTTCCCTTGGCTAGCCTCATGTCCCTGGACACAATGGGGCAATTTTGTAACGGCCAATCCACCCTAACCTGCACATCTTTTGACTGTGGGAGGAAACTGGAGCATCCGG